ACACAATCTCTTGATCTGGTAGATCACATGTTTTTGAGTTCATCGCCATTAACTAAATAAAAGCACTTTTCAAGTTCTTCTGCATGAGCTAAACAAAAGTGCAACTCGTCATACAGTAAGGACAGCGCTCTAGACGCAGCAGAGGTGCATCGCAGGGCAACTGACGGACAAAGCTACAAGCAACGAGCTACATGCAGAGACCTCCACTTCCAGTCAGAATATTAAGACAGGAATCGGAGCCAAAAATAAGCTTGAAGCTAAAGCAGAAGTAGGTCTCTGGCACACATTTGACTCCTTCCAAAGTTAATTGAGCAGATAGAAAAAGCCTTAAGAGGTCAACAGTCGCACCATATAGAACAACAAGGCGAAACATGCGCCATGTTGTGCTCCGAGTCTAGCTGGAGCTTTGTCCTCTTAAGCCTTGAGCCAAAATGACAAGCTTTTTAGTAAGGCAACCCTATGCGCAGCTAATCATGTGATCTCATGAGTTCAGCTAAATCTGTGGGGGAAAATTGTGGTTCTATCCCCCCAAAAATTGTCATATGATCTTTTGGCCGGTTTGGTCACCACTGTAATACATTATTCCTTCAGAAATATGTTTAAAACATACGAGACAGTGAATCGGTTAGCTTGAACTCTTAACCCCATTTTATTGTTTTGGGGGTTTTTTCTAGTTGTTTGTTTTTTTCTTTTGCAGTCATATTGAAACCAACTACAGAGCTAGGAAAATTAATCACTTAATTTGAATAAATTGGGGAAAAAACAACCAGAAGTAGTTGAATCATCATAAATCTGACTGATATTCTTTGTGGTAAATGGAGTAGTTAAGTTTTTTAAATATGATATATGTTTGACTTTTTTTAAAAGGCATGTTTATTAATTGATTAAATTTCAAAAATGCACATGCAATTCTGTAAGTAACATGTATCTGAATGCTACAATAACACAATGAACAAGAGATCAGTTATTGTGGCTTGTTAAGTAGTGGATGATGGTAAAGGGCAGAAGAAGCCACGTGTTGAAATGTGAAATTAAATTAATGTTTGAGTCAATTTTGATGTGCTGCAGAGCCTCGCCTGTCGCGTGCTGAGGTTCTCAAACGTTGTCAGGGTGAAATGAGTAAATTCCTGCATTCAACATGGAAATAAAGGAGTGGTGGTTGATAATCAGTGTTGGTTTACTTAGTTGCTCAGAGCCTCCGGCTGCTGAGCGTCTATAATCCAATCAGATGATTAGGCTGCTATCAGATCGAATAGAATAACCTTTTATTGTCATTTTACATGAACAACGAAGTTGTGGGTGCTTCACACCAACTGTGCAGGAATAAAGTAGAAATAGAAGGACAGTAGAAATAAATGGCAAACAGGAGAACTAGTAGAGAACACAATAGAGAACAAGTTGCAAAGTGCTTGGAAGAAGTGCGATAGACTCGATCTGAGAATTACTCAGACCATCAGGCAGCCATGGGGTGTGTGTGTGTGTG